ATGAGCAAATAAGCCTATATAATACAAATCCATTATCTTTGCAGCAAGTTTCAGCATACTATTCTATACATCTCAATAAGTTCAAAAACATTCATATTGATTATTTCACTATCTTATAACTGGGGCAATTTACGCTTTTTATGTTGACGATATGATGACTGTGACAGATCAATGCATCTATACTCATTATTCTGAGATCTTTTACTATATTTGTCTTTGAAAAACATAATATAAGTTCTATGAAATACTTCTTTTGTTAAATTAACTTTAGGTTTATCATGTATTAAACATCTTTTATCAAATATATCGAAAAAATTTGATCAATCGCTTAAATCAATATGTATTGATAATCTTCAACATGCACTTTTACTTACATCATTACCAACAGAATATTTAATGTATGAATTTCTTATTTCGTCACCAGAAGATCTTCTTCATAATGTACGTGTTTTTGTACAAAATGATTCAAGTTCATCTACATCATCATCATATGGTATAGCTAATGGTGATAGTTCTATTTTTCCAATATGTCAACAACTTTTTAATGAACATCATCAACATTCCCAACAACAACAGAAAGTTCCTGAAGGAAAATTCTTTCGATTTACATTTCGAACAAAAACAGCAATAATAAATGATCCTAATCCACATGAAATACAAATGAAAACATTTGTTTTTTTAAATTATTTTCATTTACAATTAATTCATATTGTTGGTGAATTGAATTGGTCAGAATTAATACCTTGTTTAAGTCAAACAATTGATTTAGCTGAACGTTTCGATTCAGCTATTAGTAATTTTGGTTTACGAAATATTTTACTTCAATTATTTAATTTTGATCCACCAGCTGTAACATTTCAACATATTAAACGAATTGCATTTCAATATCTTGTCGATTATTTAATGTGTGGAGTTAAAGATGAACTTGTTAATCGATCTATTCAATCAGCTAATCCTAATTTACAACAAGTATACCTATTGTCGACGCCAAAATTCAAGGCATTCAGATTTTTTTTTGAGTAAATTTTCATAAGAATAAAGTATCGATCTACGATTTTCAAAGTATGATAATCAAGACTTAGAGATATATCTCTATGAGTGAAATTATTTTGGAAAAAAAAAACCTGAAAATCAGTTCTTGAAAATTTCCATAGGAGTGTATTGATGTTTTTACCTGAGCAGATAGCTTTCAGTGTTCTATACAACTATTTTATGTTGCAAGGTTTAGAAATATCAGGCAATTTATTCGAAGCCCTAGGATTTTTCTTGCTTTACATGAAGAACTTTTACACACGCTTGAAAACATAGCTTATCAACTATGCTCAACGGCGTGGCAGTATTTATATGCTTTTTAGAATAACTTTTTTTTTGCTGATCGTATCCGATCATAATTAATATATAGTGTTTCCGTATGATGACATTAGAAAAATTATTTTCTTTCATATTTTGTATTGTATTCAAGCATGAAGAGTGTATAGATTGTCATAAGAGCATTTTTTTCATACGGCCATACCATATATGAATTATGATCTGCTACGACCAATAAAAGCATGATTCTAAAAAGGAAATAAACACTGCTATGATGTTTAGTATGATCGATAATCTATGTGTTCAAGTATTTATAATAGTGTCATACTTAAGAAATAGGAGTCTTAGAGTGTTAGACAAGCTGCCTGATATTTCTAAATCTTGCAAGATAAGAGATATGTAAAGATCTAGCCTTTTATGAACACTGTGGACCATCTATTCAAATAAAAAAGTTAATAGACTTCTATAGTATTTTTTAAAAATCCAGTGTGGTATTTCAAAGATCTTTTGAAAGACTGGTCTTCAGATTTTTTTTTCGCAGAGAAGACTTTGCTTTTACAAATATGTCTCTAGGTATTGATTATCATGCATTGAAAACCTCTAGTCTTTACCTTGTTTCTATGAAAATTTATTTAGAAAGTATCCAAATGCCTTGACTTCTGATGCCGATCATAATCACTCAAGTTATTTAATATTTGAATTATTTGTGTTTTGTTTTATCGTGTAGGAAATTAATGAACAGATAGATAATAATTCTGATGAATATATATCATTTCCCGAAACACAATCACCTAAACAAGAAACAGTAGAAGATAACGAGAAAAAAAAAGGATTTTTTAGTCAGTTTGCATCATATATTGCAACAAATCCATATAATTATATTGATCTATTAAAAATGCTTAGCGACGGTATAGCTGATTTACTTTTTACTGGTTCAAATCGATTGGAAACTTGTACAGAAGTAATATTATTAAAAAAAAAGAACACTGATAAAAATTAATATTTCGATTGTTTATTAATTTTCTTGATATAGATGAATCAAATGGGTTTATATCTTTTACGAGCCGATCAAGATCTAATTGATAAATTTATACCTTCAACAACACAATCTAGTTTAAAACAATATTTCATATCTGAAAATGAAACTGAATATTTTATTGTTAATCAAGATATGATTTCACGTGTATTACATGATCATAAAATAATGCGTAAAGTAGATACAACAAATTTATCCTCACCTGTACATCGTAAAAGTTTATTAGCTCAATCACCATCATCAACTCATCATCCATTCTTTTCACAAACTTTATTTAATGAAACTACAAAAACCATAACGTAAGTTACATGTAATTCGATCAATATAAATAAGCAATTAAAATAATTTAGTGATGATCAACGTACATTACAAGAGACACTTTCTACACGAAATACTGAACATATATCTATTGCTCTTAAACATTATGTTGATGGATGGAATGATTTATGTTTATATTTAGCTACAGCATTACAAGAAAATGGTTGTTGGTGTTCATCAACAGGGTCTAATAATAATCTTCTTATATCTTCTCTTGAAAGATGGTTATTTGTATGTGCAACGAATGCTACAAATCGACAACTGAAAAATTTACTTTTGGATATTCTAATGAAATATGGAGGAAAAGAAACCATTATCACACGAACATAAATGTGTTGATAAACATTATTAAAGATCTGATAGGTTAGTCTAGATACATCAAGTTAAGAAAGTCAGTCGTATTTATTTTTTGTGCAATATAGTCAATAAAATTTGTGAATGTTTATTTCACTTTGTGTTCTTATTACTAAAGTAAATGTTTTATTTTATTTTATTTTATTTTATTTTATTTGTTTGTGGGATCTAATTATTGTTATGTTTTGTCTGTTTTGGTGGGATCATTTAACGACAATAAATAACACATTTATGTCAATTTTATGTATATTATTAAATATCATTTGAATAATATAATATTCTTTTAAAATTAGTTTTAATGGCGTCTCTCACAATCGATTTACTAATCAGTTTGGACTGTTTGAGTTTCGATTGTCAGAGAGGAATGGCCCGAGTGAGAAATACTTTTGATAAAAATTGTAGTCCGATACGTCAAATTAGAATGAATTTCTACGTTAATCATAGTCCATTTATGGCTTCTGAGAGAAGTCCTAAAAATTGATCATTAAAAGAGATACAGAAGTTAAAAGATTTTAAGTACAAGCCAACATTTTTTGCGTAGTTTTTGTTTGAACAGAATTTTTATATTTGTTTCTTCTGTTCATTATTATTACGAGCTTTTAAGTAAACACGGTGTTGACCTCAGCATAGAGAGAATGATCCTACGACACAAAGTCTCATTTTCTCAACGTAGACACCAACTATAAAAAACATGGTCCAACAATGATTTATTCTCATTTAGAGCTTCAAAACAGAAAAAATATTGCTTATGTCTTGACGCCAAGGGGGAAACATGATACTTCATACTTCGCTTACTTTAACGTACTTTGACGCACTTTAAAGTACAAAAGTAGCATGTTTTCCCTTGCAATAATCCCATCTTGATTTTTTTCGAAAGATAGAGTTTTTTGAGAGAGGACTCACTTATCCCATCAGAGTGTTTCATGGCCAAGTCAAAAGTGCTGTACAAAATTCATAAGAATAATTTCATACTTAAATTATGTCCTTTTGTAAATTCTGTTTAAGTCTTTTAGTATTTATAAGAAAACAACAAAGTTATAAGAAATATGTAAAGAAGAAAAAGTTTTTTCAAATTTCTGAACATCAAGTATTCATTGTTATTTGTTATTTCATAGAAATCTAAGTATAAATACATATATCTTTCAAGTCCCTACGATATTCCAATTCATTTATCAAATACATTAATGAAACTTTGTGAACACACATGATCCTCATATAATACAAGTGAGCTATTTCTACTTGTTATACTGCGCCTTAATAAGTATTCGATTATTTTTGAAAATCGATAAAGCAATGTTTCTGTGAATTTCGTCGTACCAATTACGATTCATGGCACGAACATCAAGTCAAATTCACTGATGATCAACTGGAAGTTTTAGCTGAAGTACTCATTTCAAATAGCTATTGTGCTTGATAACAGAAAGTTTCTGTTTGTGCGTATATCGCAATTTATCATGATATCTTCTTTCGTTTTGTATCGAGCACTATTTTCGAATTAAATACAAACAGCTCTGGAAAACAATGCTTCGATAACTTCATATCTCAGAATAGCTTTATAAAAATTTGGAAAAGTTAACAGCGAATTCGCTACTAAAACTAAAAGAGGATTCTACGAATACATTCTTTTCAATTAAACTCTGTTCATCAGTTTGTTAACTATTCATATAGCATTACTCGTCGAATAAAACTTTAATGTCATATAGTTAGTATAAGCAGTGCATCTACACTAGTTACTTTATTAACGAAATTCTAAAAAATGATAAATAGATATCACAATACAAAATCATTCTCAGAGTTATAGCATTGAAAAGTCATGTACATACTGTTTAACTCAATAAATATTGATATATCACAAACAAAAACTTGATCAATATTTAAATACTACACCTATCTCCTGCTGAACATTCACTAGTCGTGATCGGTTTTGTTTTATCATTTAAACCAATTGATGGCTTCTCTATTTGTTTACTTGTATGATTTATTTCTATTTGATCAGTATGTGTAACCAATGTTTGTGCAAAATCAATAAACCAATTTTCAACATTTTCATTTTTTTGTGAACTTGTTTCAATATATGATAAATTTTTGTATCAGTATATGTTTTTATTGTTAAATAAAGAATCACACGTCGTGATTGTAAATCAGATTTTGTACCAACAAGATACACAGGTGGTTGATTTCCACAATGTCTTTTTACTTCTTCAAGCCATTTATCAACATTATCAAAACTGTCACGATTCATTATATCAAAACAAATTATAATATCATGTGCACCATGATAAAATGATGATGTAATACATTTATAACGATCTTGACCAGCTGTATCCCATACTTGTAATTTACCACATTTTGAATCAACAGTAACTGTTCGAATTTGAACACCTATTTTTTGTTTTTAGTTTAAATTTTTCCAAGAAAAGAACCAATGAGAAACAAAAAGAATTATTATTCAGAATTCTTACCAACACCAACAGTAACAAAACATTCGTTCGAAAATAGTTTTGAGAAAATCGTTTTAAAATTGCAGTTTTTCTATTGAAGTTAAATACAGTACTGCTCAAAAATATAAGACCACTTTATTTTTGATCTTTTTCTATAATGCTGAACAGTTAGCTCAAATCCAAATAGTGATTCTAATAGCCAATGAAGTTTCCTATTTAATGCACTTTATAGCAGAGTGTCACCAATGAACTATGATGGAAAGATTTCTAGAAAACCAAAAACCATATTTTTCAAGTCCGGGAAGACGTTGTTGAAATAATTTTTTGACAATGCCATCTTAAAGAGCCCAAAATTCTGAACAAAATGATGGGCCGCCGCATTTTCTATGACCTTCCATTGAAAAGTTACACGCATCACAAAAAACAAAAAAAGTGAATTTTTAGCCGATATTCATCGATTTTTTGATAAATTTCGATTCTTTTTGTTTATTGTGATGCTTGTAACTTTTTAATGGAAGGTCGTAGAAAATGCGGCGGCCCATCATTTTGTTCAGAATTTTGGGCTCTTTAAGATGGCATTGTCAAAAAATTATTTCAACAACGTCTTCCCGGACTTGAAAAATATGGTTTTTGGTTTTCTAGAAATCTTTCCATCATAGTTTATTGGTGACACTCTGCTATAAAGTGCATTAAATAGGAAACTTCATTGGCTGTTTGAATCACTATTTGGATTTGAGCTAACTGTTCAGCATTATAGAAAAGATCAAAAATAAAGTGGTCTTATATTTTTTAGCAGTACTGTATTATTTTGTATAAAAGAGAATTATTGAAAATAAAAAACAAAAGTTTATGTATACCCAACACCACTATCACCAATAATTAATATTTTAAATAAATAATCATAGTCAATATCAGCAGTGTAATGTTGGACATGATTGTTCGGTAAATAAATAATTCTGTTTTCGGCTGTTATCTTCACATTCTTTTTATATTGGTAGTTTTTTATTTGATAGTCACATAGTGTAAATTGTTGACATGGACACGTAGCAAATAGGAATAACTCAAGATACTAAATAATTGTTCTATGAATTTTCGGACTGTTTACAGAAGAAACCAAAAAAAACAACCGCGCGGTTTTTTTTACACTTGTTTCATATTAGGAAGTCACAAAATAGGTCGTAGATAATTTTAATATCCTTCTACACCAACAGGGTTCTTCCTTATTAATAGGTACCGATTTTTTGATAGAATTTTTTAGATAAAACTGAATGATCAATATATATCACTTTTTCTTCAAGATTCTTTGTTTTTAAATCATGAAGAAACTACCCCGAGTGACATCCATTGTTTGAGCTTATGTTGGACTCATAAATAGGCCCCAGAAGGTTAAAAAAGTCTAAAAGGATTCATCATCATGTATCTTTGGCGTCAGGTTACGATTGGTATACTGGATTTTCCACCTATTTTAGATACTACTCGAAAAACCAAATAAAGGAGTTTCGATATAAAATTTTGCCTGTGGGTACATCGAATGACTCTTAGAATTTTTCTCCAGTCAAATAATGGGTCCTATGGTTTGATTAAAGGCAATAAAGTTAAAAATAAGTCCGATAAATCTTCACTGTAATAATTTTCAGATCAGTGTTTACGCTAGTCACTTCTTTCTCTTCTTGTTCCTTGGAACTTTCCCTTCCTCTTTTTCATTATTTCCTCTACTCATTTCACTCTCTCTTTTTTCCTCTCTTATGTAAGTATATGTGGCGGTCAAAATTGGAATCTGGTCAAATTCTAAATTTGCCCAGTCAAAATTGGAATTCTAATTTTGTCTAGACAAAATTAGAATTCTCATATTGACCAGACTATTCTTAGACAAAATTAGAATTCCAATTTTGCGTGGACGAAATTAGAATCGGACTAAAAATCAAATGACCAAGTTGAAAACAATTAGAGTTTGAATAAATAAAGAGTTTTTTATTTTACAAACTATTTAGGGATGCAATAAACCGAAAGCTTTGGGATTTGGTGCGATTAGATTTGGATTTGAGTTTGGGTTTCGAAGTAGATTTTGGACCCGATTTGGATTTGGCCTCCGATAGTTTGTATTCCAAAGGATTTGATAAGATGTGGTGTTACAAACAACATACTGTACTAGTAGGGATGTGCAGTTTCAGTATACTGACCACCGATAAAACCGCACTGGCGTTCACTGGTACGTTGACGACACTGACACTGAGCGCACTGTCTGCAGTGACACACCGACAATGAGCGAACTGTCTGCAGTGACGCACTGACAGGGACCGCACTGTCTGCAGTGGCACACTGACACTGACGAGGAAACACCGCCCAGGTGAAGCTCCGCTTTTGACCTGATAGTGTCTCCCTGCAGACAGTGCAAATCAGTGTCAGTGTATCACTGCAGACAGTTCGCTCACCACCAGTGCCTCACTGCAGACAGTTCGCTCACCATCAGTGCGTCACTGCAGACAGTTCGCTCACTGTCAGTGCGTCAGTGCAGACAGTGACGCTCAGTGTCGGTGTGTCACTGTCAGTAATTCAGTGTTTTCACCGAAACTGCACATCCCTATGTACTAGGATTAAATAGAACCAAAAAACGATTGTAGGATTTGAAATCGAATACTTTGTGTTTGGATTTGGATTCGGTTTTAGCTGCCAAATTTTTTGTCTAGTTCTGCCCAACCATTAATACTGTATACTATTGTTGGTAACGCCACATCTTACCAGGTCCTTTGTACTTTGGCCATAAGGCAGCAAATCCAAACCAAATCCAAATTGGGCCCAAAATCTACTTCGAAACCCAAACTCAAATCCAAATCTAATGGCACCAAATCCCAAAGCTTTTGGTTTATTGCATCCCTAAATAGTTTGTAAAATAAAAAACTGTTTATTTATTCAAACTCTAATTGTTTTCAACTTGATCATTTGATTTTTAGTCCGATTCTAATTTCGTCCGGGCAAAATTGGAATTCTAATTTTGTCTAAGAATAGTCTGGTCAATATTAGAATTCTAATTTTGTCTAGACAAAATTAGAATTCCAATTTTGACTGGGCAAATTTAGAATTTGACCAGATTCCAATTTTGACCGTAACAAATATGTTTTATATAACGTAGTGACAAATTGAAACGTAAAGTAGTTAACGAATCCTTATTAACAACGGTAGCGGTACAGCTAGTTCTTCAATTTTCATTACATTTACTCACATACCCAGGTCGAACCTATCCAATAGGATCCCATCGGATCCATAAAATATCCGACAATATCCGACCGTCGGATCCGACAGGATGTCGATAGTCGGAATCCCATGATATCCTATGGTTTCCGACGTTTTCCGACACTAGGATACCCTAGGATTCCAATAGCAGGATCCGTCGTATTCCGACAGTTGGAAACCCGTCGGATCCAACAAAATCCGACAGCACCTATTGCTACCTATGTCACCAACATCAATGTTGAAAATAAACCTGAAATCTAACCAGAAAAATAGCAAAGTCTTTCTTAATGCTAGAATTACAGATTGACGAAAATTCGTGAAATCTAAACTGTTATTGTTCTAGGATAAACCAAGCCTTTTCTAACTGACATGACATCTATTAACATTTTTTTGATTTGGTGAAGTAGATGAAGAAAAGGCAAAGTGTACAAAAGCCTATTTTATTTAGTATATTTGAAATATTTCGAAGTTTCTTATTAATGATTAAAACGAAATGTTCTTGTATTTGTTAAAGGTTTTTAGTTTCTGTGCTTTATTTATCTGTATTTTTAGCGTCAAAAAATTTAACAAAGTCATATGCACAACAACAGAAACGTACTCCACTTGATTCAATTCCAAAAATTAATGATCTTTCATCAAAGCTATCATCACCTAAGAAAAGAAAACGTGATGATGATCACAACGAAGTTCAAAGTATGTTTTCATTCCTCAATTATTCATTAGCACTTTGATGTCTTTGTTCAACAAATCTTGTGAAAGCTTACTTCCAGAAAGAAAATTCTAACGGATATTTCACCAAAAGCAGTTCTAAATTTTTTCGTGACGCTTATAGAAATTGGAGATCATTAATATTTCAATGGTTTTAGTATTTATGAAAAGAATATCATTTTTCCTTTTTCTTAGTTTTACATGATGATGTCTCGAGTGATGAAGAAATCGATCAGCAACGTCTAATAACTTCATCAAGTTTGAATATTTTGAGGCTTATCAGAAAGATTAGATATCTAGTTCTTTTTCTTATAGCATCTCCCATTATACAACATATAGATATTCTATTTAACACAATTCGACAAGAAAATGAAAAACAGTTTACTGCATTGTCAAAGAAAATTGATCGAAAAAATCATATCGATAGTGTAAGTTACTTCCATTCTTCTTTTCAACTGTCTACCATTATATATTTACTGGTTTTGTAGGTTGATCTTTCGTCGTTTCGTGAATCAGGAGATAATCGAACGAATAATGAAGTGGTTTGTTCTTTTTTCTGCTTTTTTTATTATACTTTTTTTTTTATTTAGATCTATAATAATACTAATTTACTTAGTATTCGAGGAAAAAATATTGGTGATTATGCACGACAAGTACTTCGTATTATTTATTCACAGGAAGAACTATTGTCTTCGATTTTACCTCCGGGTAGTCCTCACTTTGCTCGAAAACCTTTGGACAACAAAAGATTTGAAAAGTTTCATGGTATGTAGTTTTCTTCATTGTTCTTAAACATAGTACACCACGATTTGAGCAAAGTTCTTACAATCTTTACTATTTTTGTTGTACCAAAATGTAACACGGGAATAATTTCTTTGTGTGATTCACCATGTAAATCATTTCAACAATCAAAAGCTCAATATTTTCATAATGAAGAGCTGTCTTTGAATTTCAGTAGAAACTAAGCAGGTTTTCTATTTTTGAGGAATCCAGAGGAAGAGAAATCGTAAGCTAATAGTATGACTAGAAAATTTTCTGTTGTGAAATTTAGCATTGTCTTAGATATTTCATTTTTAGTTACTTTTCTATGCTACTAACGCAAATTTGTCGAAGTTTTTATTATGTTTCATGGAAATCCTTTTTTTTAGAAGCTATGCGTGGTAAATATCACATAGCTGAACATCGATACGACGAATTTTTTTCCAAATTAGTTCGACCGAAATTGGTTGATTTTTTGTCCGATGAACGTAAACGTGAACGTGAAAGACAATCAACTCAATCTCTCTCGCCATAATCACCTGATCGAAGTTTATGATGAATGCCTGTACATTATAGACATGTATTAATAATTTATTTATTTTCTTTTGTAGCTTGGAAAACTGGTTATATATGTGGAAAAAACCTTATTTTTAAATGATTTGTATTTTGCTTGTTGCATTTAAGTTTTTCTTTTTGTGTGTAATTGATTTAAAAATTATCAGATAGTCAAAATAAATAAAAGCTGATGAACCAAAAATATCTTCAGTAGTATATGAATTTGTGCATGATCCATTAGAAATAAAAAGTTGAGACTGAAACATCAGTACTGCAAACAGAACCAAGCTCGGTTATGAAAATAAAACCTTATCGGATCTTGTGGGTTCCAATATTTTCCGATTGATGGATCCAACTATCGGAAATCGTCGGATCCGACATCCGACAACTTCCTGTCGGAATCCTGTGCCAAGGATTCCGATGATTTCCGACAAGATCCTATCGGAAGTTGTCGGATCCCTGTTGGAAATCATGGGTTTATTTGGGATATCCTATCGGATCCAAGACTGGGATTGTTCGACCTGGGTAGGATTGAAAGATGAGTTGACGGACAAAACATCGGTACCTTAGAAAAAAAAGATATAAATCAAAGATATTATAATCATAAACTTTTGGTTATGAATGATTTTAATTATAGTGTTCATTATAAAATAACTTTTTAAAATATTTTCAGAGAATAATGATGAATTGGGTGTTTATTTGCGATACATTCTAAAACTATGCCTTTCTTGTCTAGATGAGCTAGTGCAATCTATATATAATTATTTTGAAGAGCACACTTTACTACATGTTGTCTTTAGAGAGAAATTTTCAACTATACTTATTACAATAGCAATATTTTCTATACAATTCGAGATAGAAGTCTTAGAATGCTCGTTATACATATGTATGCATTGGTTTCTCTCTATATATTTATATTAATATATTATATATGCATATTGAAGTTTATAATGGAAGGCTTACTTGGTCACATAATTTGCATTTATCATCATTGTCTTGAACTAAAACGTAAGATAACACTTCAGATCGAGTTAATAATTCAGTTGATTTTTGTTTGATCACTACACTGCTGTTTGTTGAAATTTCATCATCATCAGATTGATCAGATGGAAGAAGATCTCGATAAGACGTGCTATTTTTATTGTTGCTATCATGCATACTACCATTATCATTAGATGTAATTGTGGAATAACTTATAGAACTAGTTGGTGTACCTTGAGTATCAGTACTACCCGAAGTTCGTTTACGAACATTTAATTTTGCTGAATGAGTAAGAGCAACACCGCCCGATATTGCTCGATGGATACTTGATTGATTTAATGATGATGTTCTTTTAGAAGATTTAGCTGAAAGACAAACACTTTGTCGAGTATCAGTTGTAATTAATGTATTGATTGATGAATAATTTGTATTACCATGACTTGATGATGTTGCAGTCGTTGATGGCTGTGAAACAGTAGTAATGTTGCTAATACTACTACTAATATTATTTTCAACGTCATTCGAAATCATATCAAAACAAATAAAAGAAAAAAAAACGAGATAATAACGGTTAATAATATATGTATGTTTTATTTTGATGATTTTGATTTTACGCGGATATATTACGTACAGATTGTATTCGTGTCATAAAGAATGTCAATAATGAAAAATGTGGCAAACAAACAAAACAAAGAGCATATGTAGTCATGTGTAGTTTTGTGTATTCTTTTTAATTTCAATTTACTTAGTCTATTATCACTATACATCATTTTAATAAGTACTTTTTTCATATACACATATACACATGATTATGAGAATCCATGCAACGCATAACTATATAACTGTTTCGTTTAACAGAATAGACTTGTACATATTTGCAATGGAATAGTACAATGATGACATAAGAGGTGACCCATTAAGAACGTTCAGATCAAGGGGAGAGAAAAAGATCCATCACGACTGGACAAACATGGACAGGAGAAAAGGGAATCAAATATTTGTGGACGGCTAAATGCCAGAGATGTCCATCGCGGCTGAAAATCTGCCGCTGCCGCGCCGCGGACTTAGAAAAAAAAAGCTGCCGCACCGCAGCCGCGCCGTGATGGTTTATAAAAAAATGTTGCCACGGCGCTACCGCGCCGCGATGACTTATAAAAAAAACGTTGCCGCGATGAATTATAAAATAAACGTGCCGCCGCCGCGCCGGTTTACAAAAAAGTGTTTCTAATTTCACTGCTGCGACTATATTTGACCAGAGATATTGGTACTAGTCCATCAGATTCATTCAGTCTAGGGGTGTTTCATTTGTAAACTCTGAAATTCTATTAAATTCATGCAGTTTTTCAATGTTCCCCAAAAAAATCCTGCCACTGCCGCGGCGCCGCCGCGATGGTCTTTTAAAAAACCTGCCGCTACCGCGCCGCTGCCGCCACCGCCATCGCGGCAGCGCCGCGATGGACATCTCTGCTAAATTCTTACTATGACTATTGTCCTTTCTTTTCAAACAAATTCTCACAGAATTTCAAAACTCAGCTCGTTTTTAAGATCAATCTTATGTAGGAAATGAACTGAATCAATAATTTTAATATACAGATGGTTTCTAAATAATTAAAGATTATGCTACGTGGATAAATTAGTGACTTTCTGAAAACAATTAGTAAATATCTTATGGAATTTTTGCATCATTTTCAGTCCGAAGAAATCCGACGGCTATCTTTCATATTGTGCAATTGAAGACGTAGATTCTAATGACAATAGATGGGTGGTTTTTGAAGACCACAATGAGTTGTACTACTTCCAACAGATGAACATATTGATTTCAAGAAACATTGAATGACTGGTCTTTGATTTGATCTGTCAATAATTCGTACAACTGATCATTAATATCCTTCATAATAATTCGAAATGGTACAAGATACTTCACTTTGTTGTACATAATGCACGATTCAGTTGTGCAAAAATAAAATAATCTTTAGCATAATAGATAATCGCTTCATGTTTTCCTGTAATTTTTTAAAATATTATCGATGCTTTTATGATTACTACAATATTCAGTCCACAGATAATATGATTAGATTATCTTTGTCTGACAATAATCATGAAATAACCAAGAAATGATTGAATACGAAATAGAGGAAAATGACATTCACACTGTTGAGAAGTTTATACAAATATTCAACTAGTTTTACATATTCGGCATTGCCATCATCTAACGTTTCATTGTAGGCACAACAAAACACTAATGACTCGTTAATGTCTTCTTGCTGTGTGAATTCATGAAATGATGTTCTATCGACTTAATCGATCGTTTTTGTTGTCTTTTCACCAGTAAGACAGCTGACTTAGAGTTTGACAATTAACATGTTACATCATATTCAAATCTATATACAAATAAGATAAAATTCCAAAATATAATGATGGTGATATCTTTCTCAGACTGCTCCAACGTTCGAACAGCATCAAGCAAATAAAAGCTTCGATTTTGTAAGTACTAGTCATCACAGTGAAAGTCATTTCAAAATATATCCTACAACTATGATGGAGTGAACGAAGACAAATGTAGCAGTATGCAGTCTAAGGAACGATTGCTTCATTGTAAAAAAAAAGACCTTTAGCAAATTGGAGGAAGAAAAAATACTAGAAGAATCAAATTATGAAAGTTGAAGAGAAATTAGGGAAAATTGTAAACAAGAATGCTGATATTGAGTTATTTCTCGAAAAAAGCAACGAAAAAAAGTCAAGTGAAGAAAAGTGAAAAGTAATAAAGCATTAAGGAATTTAATAATATTGATGGAACTATTGGTTGCCATATGGTACTTTCATATTAATGAAATTAAATTGTTATGTTTAATGCTCAACTCACAAAATATTCATATATTTTTTCTGATATTGTCAAGTATCAGCAGCTCTCTCAGTTATATAAAATTTTCGAAAGCATATTTCAAAAGTACTAGACATTCGCAACTTTACTCATTACATACTTTTCAAAATACGACACAGGTACTGGGGATCACTAAAAAACACAGAATAATAAACCGTACATCACATTTTCCATAAATCCTTCAGAAGTTTGATATCTATATGATAATTCAAGAGTTTATGAAAATGACACGTATAACAAACCCTTTAAAAATTTCACAAAATGACATGTGCTCAAAAAAGGTTTATGAAAATTTGATATAGAACTTATAAGGATAGTTAACCCTTTTGAGGAGTTTTTTTTTATTATACCATTCCTTTGATAGTATCTGTCATATATTTTTGAAACACCTAACCGTTTTCATTCAGCATAAGAATGAATATGAGTTACTCAATTCGAATCCCCATTTGTTCGTTTTCTATCCTCAGTAGAATATGAGAATAGTGTAGAATTGAAATAAAGGCTACTAAAAATTAGGCTGTAAAGACGTTCTATTTTTCTTTTCTGTAGGTGACGATACAGCGCCACGTTGGTATAGAAGTCATATTTTTAGTCTTGCATCTTTGGCATACGATTTCTTCATGTTTTTGCGTTTATATTCAAAATCGAAGGAGATCAATAGTATGAAATTCGTGCATTGTATCTTGAAACGCTTTATGACACTCAGAGACCTATCATATAAGCTATATACTGAAGAGTCCAGGAAAAGTATTTAAGGTGTCAGTAATTCCAAAATGGAGCGAGTTTTTTTTTTCTAAAATACTTTTGTGTGGTTCAATAGAGCTCAACCAGCTGTACAAAAATATTTATGTTAAAAGGTTTTTCAACACATTATTTGAGATGTAATTTAAAAGAAAGTTCAGAAAAGCTTTCAAAAAGATCGATCATTTGGGATAGAAAAATCAGACTTCGTTTTTCGACAAATTTAGTCCTGTGTCTATTGTTAATTTTAATGTAGAAAGTTTGAAAAACGGTTCGTTACACGTACTATAGAAAACTGCATATAATGGCATAGTTTGAGGCTGTTAATATATGATGTCGCCAAAAGGTTGATTTGTCTACATGAGAATTCATAAATAAAAAGACTGCTCGAGCATACGTCAAAGCTAGGTACTCTGACTAGATTCATCATTTATAAGATAATTTTTTCTCTTTTTAGTCTTCAAAATACATGTATCCTTTTTTTCTACAACTCTTTATCTGATAATGACAGTTTCTTTTCAACATGGACAATACAAGAAAGGTCAATTTTTAGCATAGCTAGGCATTATCGATTTCAGACGGTCTGTTGCATATTTATTCAAAGTCAACGTCAATCGAGAAGATACAACAACTTATCGAATATTTCTTTACTTTATTTCAATATCAAGATCATGTGTATGTCAATACTTTTATATAAGTTTTTAAGTTTTTCAAGATTAAATAAGCTAAAAAATTCAACAAGCTAAATTGAAACGAACACGTAGTACATTGCGCTCAAGATCTAGAATTTTTGTACGACCATGAAGAAAAGTACGATTATTGAATAATATCATCATATTATTGTCAAGCCTTGGTCGAAAAAGATTTAATTGGTCGTCAGTCAAAATTATTGAATTTAGCTCGGCAATGGCTGCTTGTTTTTCTGGTGATTCTTCTTTCAATCGATTTTTATCAACAATGTCTCGTCTATATCGAATATTTTTATCACCATTGAGTAAAATGGAGCCATATATATAATCGATATCACCTTTTCGAAAATCTGGTGGAACATTAATCTTATAAGTTTCATTACGTAATAAACGCTTTGTTTCCACTGATAATTTATCAATAATTTCTTGAGTACTAACCATATGAAACTTGCCACCATTTTCAGTTCGATCACATTGAACAACATACAAAGCAACAAAATGTGGTGCATCATGTTCATATGAACAATCAGTATGTAATACAAGTTCTCGATCAAGTTGAGATGCTTGTAATTTTGATTCTGGTGTATCAAGTTCAAGTACTTTGACGGGCCAAATCAATGATAATGGATCATCATCATATGAACAACAAACTCCACCTATATTGTTGATAACATCGAGGCAGGCTTTGTCGCAGTCTCCATTTACCAAGTTTTCACATTTCACTTTCACATAACCGTTGGTAATCAGTTCCTGTCGTAATCTATCAGACAATGCAATATCTTTATTAGTACAATCGACAATATAACATTTATCAGGTATCATTTTTAAAGAATGATCTACAGTATTGCAAGATACTTCATTTATATACTACCTTTCGAAAGAGGAACAATATTCATGCAATGTCGCATGACCCATATGTATAATCTTTTATCGAAAAAATCAATAGTATTACGCATGAGAAATAGTACTCATCATTATTGTCGGGTCGATTTCCTTTTTTCTGTCTGTGCAATAGAAGCTTATATTCTTACCCTTTATTTTCGGCGAAGTCATTGACGTATTAGTAAAAGAAAGGGATCATATCAATCAAAAACAGCAGATTCAAATTATAAATGCACTTTCAGGGAAACTATATGTAACTACTAGTGAAAAGGGGTAAAGGATATGCAGCTTTTTTACTTTCATTTTGCTAACTTATTGAAAGAGAAAATTGTCAGGACAGAATATTATTTTAACATGTATGAGTAAGAATATCATTATTCTAAAACAAAAATATTTTTGGGTTAGAAGATTTACTATGATAATCATCATAGTAAATCGGTCACAAGACGAACGACATCTATTATCTAGAGTATTGCACGATAATATAGTAGACATGCTACATTAATTTTCTATTTTTCATCATTTATATAGTCTTTGTGATTCTGGAAAACTTGCTGGAAACCTTTTTGTATGCTAAATACTAGTTGAAATATATTATACTTTATTCTTTGCAGAAAAACGCTCTTTGAATAAAAAATACAACATAAAAGAAATTTCAAATACATCATTTGTGACGAGAGCATGTCATAACATCTAACTTTTATCGAAACAAGTTTTCTTCAATTTTCTTTGAATACTTTTGACGTTTCGTTTTTAACATTGTCGTTAGTGATTTACTCATTTTTTATTGAAAGAAACAAAACGAATATCGCTTTGTTTTCGATATCATATTGCAGCTCGCATAAGACATATTTACTTTTCTTTATAGACAGAAAACAGACATACAATCATATTTTCTTTTTACAGTCTGAAAGTCGGGGATTAAATGACTATCAGTCAGAGTCATCGACCAAATGTCGATGATGCAAATAATATGCGTTTTATCGACAATTGTTCTATTTTCTCACGTTATCATCACGTCTTTATTTTTTCTTTGACTTCAAATGAAGTATCAGGCGTCAGAAAATATTAGTTGATGCTGCATAAAATTTATTAAATAATAAAAACCTAAGCAAATATCTGACCGCGTTGACACTTAGCATCACTTGATATCGCATCAAGTAACTCAAGATGGGCTTCATGCACTATAGATGTATTTTCAAAGAAAATAAAAATTTTTCATGATCCTGAAAGCTTTTTATTTTCTTGGAAAAATTGGAAGCATCAATAACTTTCATCAAATGGAAGATTTGTTATCTTACTCGAGTGAACTGGTCTTATTCATCGCTTCTTCAAAATGTTAGAACTATACGTCAGTGATTTCATGAAACTTGTACTGTCAAAAATCAGTCATAATCTTAAAAGAGTTACAACAATTATCGAAGAACAAGTTAATGAAGTTAAGGATGCTTGAGAATATGAGTCGCATCAAATATTCGGTCCATTGAACAAGCTTGCTCATATTCACAAACAATAACATACCGGATTATAACGAACCAACTCTTATTAAAACCATACAAAGTACCTTTTCTAAAAAGAATTACATAGATCGAACATTTAAGCTTGATTCATTTTCACTTCATCATTAACTTCATCAACTTTTTCTTCAGTAATTACTCTACGATTTTCCAAAACGCAATCGATTGTCACTAACACTGGTATCATAAATTTACTGAAATGTATTGTTTCAGACAATGTTTACTTCGCATGTTTATTTCCGAATTCAATTGATACTAACCATTTTATAATGTTCGCTTATCTAAATTCGATCATGAGTAGAGTAATTTTAATTCTCTCTTCTTTAGTTGAAAACATGTTATCTGAAATGAATTGAATGAAAGTTTGATAAAGAAGTGATCAAACTTTAAAAAAAGAATACTTAAATTTCTCGAAGTGATGAGGACTTTTTCGCGTTTTTTTTTCGTTTGGACTTATGGTGCACCCGGGAAACATGGTAGTGTTATCTATATAATACAAATCATGCATAGACATAAGTTGTTTTTTTAAATAAATGTTATACCAATGTATTCGATGATTAAAATAAATATACAAAATGCATCTTGAATCAAACGGATTGAGAGTAGTTATCAGAAGCGTTTTCTAAGTTTTTCATTTTGAACTAAAGCTTGTTTGTTTTTATTTTACACATTAGTATTGTTACTATAAATTTTCCGGTGATAAAGTAGAGTGATTTGATATATGAATATATAATAGATGAAAAAAACTGAAGAAACAATCACTTAATAAAAAAAGAAATACCTTTCAAACTAACTATTTTTCGATTTGTTAGATAAAAATTGCAAAAATGAAACGAGAAAATATTTACAATAAGAATTAAATAATATAGTGTCCTTAATTTGTGATACTTTCCTTCTCTACTATTTTCTTAATTTTTATTGATACATTCATTTAAAGCATGTTCTATTTTGACGTAATGAAGTTCAATCAAGTTCTTCCATGACGCTTATCGATATCATTCGTAATTATTTGAACCATTTATTAATAATCTAGTGACCTATTTGGTTTTATTCTAACAACCAAGATAGCAAAGAATTCCATTTTCCCTATGCAAAAAAAAGGAGTCTGGAATACCAGAGAAAAGTAATTTTTTACTACTGATTGAGACTTAGAATTACAACTATTTTGTATGTCTTTTGAAGAACATCCTATGCAAGGCAATCAAACAGAGGAATAAAATCATGTTCTGTCTACAGCGCCAATACTAATACCTTCAATTCTAATTACCTTGCAGCAGCCCTGTATATTAGTGATGCATGAGCCCCATTCCTCTACAGAGGATTTTAAATCTATAAAAAGAAATGTTTCAATCAAAAGATTTCTAATTGAAATAAGATCTATATGTCGAAATACATCTATTTAACTTATAATTAATAGCAATTTATTAAACACTACAATATAGATTGTGTATTTATTTCTCACTTCTATGTTCACTTATGCAATTTGGATAGAACTCATTTTTAAAAATGTCTACATACGGCATATAATGTCTATGACGAGTATCTATTTTATATAAATATGAATTTTATAATACTAAATTCTTTTGATTAGCTAATAAGTGAGATTTCATATAATATAATCTTCTGCTTACATTGTGTGTTGGTGTACTTGGTATCTGTCGATGTTTTTTTATATTTAAAACAATGAAAAATAAATAATACAAAATGAAAAAAAGAAATTTGAGATTTTTGTTGCAATAACAATTTGTTTCTTCTATGTTCTGATAAATGTATTGATCAAGACAAATTAAATTGAATTGAAAGTTATATATGATGTACTAAGAGAAATAATACTTAGCCTACTTCTTTTGAAAAAAAATGCAAACTAAAGAAATCTATATTGCTTGATAAACTCAGTGAAAACAAACACTTTTATATACACCAAATCAAGGTTTATTTATATCAACTCCAAAGGCTTGATCATAGTATGTAAATATAGTCAATTATCATAGAGCAACAATAAAATTAACTTGTGTAACAATAATAACCTAAAGATTTGTCTCTTTGCCGAATGTATCAGCTAATTGATTTATGGCTGTATTATAAATGTATTATACATATCTTTATGTAAACAGGAGAAATAAATAATAAAAGCAAATATTTTTGTGTTCATTGATTTGTTACATATATCAAACTTTGGATTAATTCATATAGACGTCTTACAACGAAACCTCCTTCGGTACTAAAAAGATTTTGGTATGGATAAAGTCTCAGATCAAAATTCGAAACATTGATTCTACTGCAAAAGTAGGGTACTACAGTAAAACTATTGTAAAATATCGGCATTTCAGCCAAATTGTAATTTGTGCTCATATCCTCTTAGACTTTATCCAGTCTAGATATCTCCTATTGGTGGTCCAAATTTCAGATCAACAGTGATTTAATACCTGCGAAGGTTTTTTTAATTTGTAGAGAAAGTTCATTATGAGCAACATCTTGAATCTTTTTAAAAAACCCGTTAGGTATTTTTATTTATTGGGAAATCTATAACAAGTCTAACAAGAAATACTTTATTTTTTTTTTTTACAAAAACAAATATCTTCCTTTTTATCCATTGGTTCTTGCCCAGAATTTAATTATATCAGGAATATGTTCTTGTAACAGACTAACACTTGTTTGTTCACGATTTTTATCTGATGTTTCTTGTGTTTTGATAGTATTTTTAAGATAATAATCTTCATCTTCTTTTCGAATTAATCGCCAATCAGGATTGGTAGCACTTGTAATTTTTATTTCTCGACCACCATTTAATACAACACCACTTTCAATAATACGTCCATAAAATTCACTTTGAGTATCCAATGGTTTTCTTGTAAGTGCAGTTATTTCTTCGAGTTTACCAATGATTACTTTAGGTGGAGTTTGTGTTATCAGTGGACGACTTTGCGTTAATACAACATAAGAAACTTCTATAGAACGATAAATGATGTTTTCAAACATGTAATACTGTGAATAGTATTACCTTTATTTTGATCGTAAGCGTTGCGTACAAACATACGACCAATACCAAAATTTTTTAGTTTTGAACATAACTCTGGTAGAGTATTGCCAAATGACAAACTAATCTGTCCAATAAACTGAATACGTGGCATCTGAAGAAATGAAAGAAAACTGTTTCTGTCTGCTCGAATCATTATCCTATCCTCTTTTGGTTTTTTTATTCAAAATAACAACAATAAATGTTGACGGATATAACAAAGAAAAAATCGTTTAGTTTAAGCAGACAAAATAATAATAAAATTCTTGTTTTTCTTTTTTTGATTACGGTTTGTATTCGACTTCTTCTGTTTTAATAAGAAACTCAACAACTTCTTCACCAACATTCGATGCTTGTTGTTCAAATAATGAATCTGTATCAACACCGCCACGTAATTGAACACGTTG